CCTTGAGATTCCCATGAGATTAAGAAATTCATATTACTTTTGATTTGTAATTGTTCCCATGTGATACGCTCAGGCTTCTATCTTTACAAATTAAGACACACACACACACACACCGTACATGAAGACCAGGAGCGCTTTCCATCGATTAGATTTTCCACATTCGTTCTTTTATCTGTCCACTTGTCTCTCATCACCACTGTCTGTCTGTCTGTCTGTCGTCGAGTACCCTTTAAATGTCTTTCACATCGTCGTGCCCCAACCTAATGGATGGCATCCTGATGGCCAATGAGTGTGTTTTTGACTGGAATTTCGCCATCCCCAGAACTACTTACCACTACTCATCGATTTGGTATATCTGTGTTCTTTTGCTTACTCCCCCCTCCCCCCCCCTATCCCCCGGGTTTATCATACTGATAGTGTTTGTTTTTCCCTCCGTTTATCGTCAATTCGTTAACATTTTGTGAATGCTTATATGGTAGTGAATTTTGAGAATATTTGAAAATAAATGAGAAAATTGGATACCGTTGTGATCTTATGACCGCATTATAAGCTGTTCGACCGCAGCAACAGGGCAATATCAGTTCCATGTATGGTCCAAAAGATCGAAATGTCAGATATGGACTACGACAGCTGACTTCCCACAGTTCGTTCTGTCCAATAAGCAGATAATGTCAATCGAAACTAGGTGCGTATGGAATCAATAAAATTATCCAAACTTACCGCTCGAAAAGTGCATAGCGAAGCATCAACAATTGTCAATCGTTTACCGATAAATCCATTTCAAAATCATTGTAAAGCCTAAATGAAATGACTTAGACCAGTGTTATTCGCGTTCATGAGTGTGTGTGGATTCTAGTTTGTGGAGAAGCCGTGGATGAGGAATCACGTCAAAAGTAGATGTTAGTAGTCGGCAAATACACACCCAGCCCAACTCATTTCACCATTTGAAGAATTGTGATAAGGCATCCAAGGCACATCCGCTAGGTTGACCGGAAGTTGTATGAGGTCGCGTGTGATCACAATCTTGCGAGGATGACAGCTCTTTCGTATTCGCTTCCGATGTAGTAAAAGCGAGGGATTTCAGCCAAACACGTTTTCGAAATCTCCTGACTAAGTGTACTGATCAGCGAGATATACACGAACCCGCTTCACCAGCTCCTGTTACAACTGCAATACAATTCGAACTCCACAATCGGAATAGCAAGGCTTGCCATTGAATAACTTCAGCGAATTTGATATTTGACTAAGGAAATCGGAGCGGTAAACCGTTCACCATTAGAGAGCCAACAATATCACCCTTATGAACATCCTCATTTGACTTCACTTTTAACGTGAGCAATTCTCCTACGACTGTGCGAAGCATGGGTCACAGATAATGCTCTACCGGCTTGCCTGCCTTTGTTCTCCCGCCGTCCTCCACGATCCAATGACATACTCGCGGAACCCGTTGGATGCGAAACCTTATTGTCGTCCTTTAATTCCGACTGTCCATATCTACAGCACTGTCGAAGCGGGATTGCGTGTCCCTCGCCGATCATCACACCTACCAGAGGGAACCATACTGATCGCAGACCAGATTCAGGAAGACACAACTGCAACGAGTTGATGTACGCACTGTTCTGGTGAGATCACAATTTAATCGAAGGGTTTCCGCCTGTTCGTCACACAATCTTGCGCAGAACGCATTCAACCAGCTGGTTGTTAAAGTGATTCCAACTTTCCATTTTGAGACATTGTCCGACCCGACTATGCAATCTCTCCCCTTCAGCATGCTACATTTTCTGATCTTTTCTTCGACTAATTAATGATTTGACCATTGCTGAACTAACCGATGCTAATGACGTTTAACTCGGTGTGACGCACATAGCACTATTCACCGATTAGAGAACCTCTGTGAGAAAGTCCGACAAGTAATCCCAGTCAAAGCTGGCGTCATTTAACGTGACTACCGACAAGTACCTGTATGTCAGAGGAAGGCATATTATGTGGAAAACGCTGCATCAGAACTCGTTCGCAGAATCACTTGATATTTCAAGGAAAACCCTTTCCAATATTATATCTGAAGGACCGACTTCGGGAGACTTTGCCAACACTGGAGCATCTCAGGAAAGATTAAACCTGAATGCCATCGAAAATTTCAACCCACTTCATGAGGTGACCATGAGAGGGGTTACGGCTAGGAGGGAAAAGTGCGGTAAGTTCCCCGTGATGGAGAGCGTCTTTTGTGAAAACACGAATGAATAAACACAAAAAGTGCGCCATGGGTATTTCAAGGTCTCCCGAGTTTGAACTGGCTCGTGTTCAGACAAACGTGGTATTCAGTCTAGGAGACTCGCATGCATTCCGCTTTCGGCTTGACGGAAACTTTTGGCGATATCGGTAATGCATTCGACGAGACCATGCAGTGGGTTTCATCCACGTATATGCCAATTGCAATCTTTCAATGTTGATGAACTAGCCGCTCTGGAACAGAAATTTGGTTTCCAAACAGTTGTGGAGCCAACAAATCCCAAGAAAGGCTTCCATTACTGCTTTGTGAGAGTATGACTGGAGATAACCTATCTCCGCCAGGTATTCCGAACTTGTCAAACTCTACGATGTCTCCGTCGTTTAGATGGCGAAAGCCTAACCTGAAATTATAATTCTTCGGAAACGCATGCGTGAATTCTGCGGTATTCCATAGTTGGCTGTCCGACATCAACCGCAAGGTGGTTTCCTGAGAATGCTCAATTAAAGTAATAATAGACAACAACATTTACTGTAACAAAGCCATGGTATTCTCGAGTGTAAAATTTGACATGGCTGGATCCAGTCTGTGCTTCAGTGTTAAAACCAGTAGACCCGATTATGATTTGGTCTTTCAAATGTTCACTCCGGGAATTGCCCTGAAATATGTTTTGAATTTGGTAAACGACGAATTGAACATACTGACCAAGAAATATCCGGCAATCTGCGCATCCGATTGTACTGGTCGACCCTTTCATAAAAACTGGGTAGATGCAATGACAAGCTGATAAGTGCGATTTGACTAAAGAGTTTTCACTTTGTGGCTATTAACGGGCGTCGTTGGGGATAATAAATCACCTGTTTAGAATCTGATGATGATGACGGAGTGACATATTT